TCTATCTATCTATCTATCTATCTATCTATCTATCTATCTATCTTCTATCTATCTTCTATCTATCTATCTTCTATCTATCTTCTATCTATCTATCTATCTATCTATCTATCTATCTATCTATCTTCTATCTTTCTTTCTATCTATCTTCTATCTATCTATCTATCTATCTAACTAGCTAGCTTTCTATCGAGTGGTCTCAAACCTGAAACCTTACGGACCCATAGTCCGCTTCCTTAACCACTGAACCAGTGATTCCTAACCTCTGGAAGTTTACCGTGAGATATCATCAGGTGTGCCGCGGAAAAAATCCAATTTCACCTAATTGGGCTTTTATTGGGTCTTTCTTAAATTCCTGTCGGTATATCAGCATCGTCTTCCACTAAACAGGAGTTAGTTTTTTTAGTATATTTAAACTAGAGCGATTATTATATTTCATTAAATTTACTTTCTCTCAGATTTTTGTTTGGGGGTGTGCCCTGAGGCACTAAGTCACCACTGGGTTTCAAACTAGCAGTCTGACAATAACAGGCCTTCAACCAATTGTCTACAGGCTAACCCCAAACCAATTTTTTTTTTTTTTTTTGACAAATGACCACTGTACACGTATCTCGTCGGGTCAAGGAAAAAAAGAACTTTATAACAGCAGGGGTCACTATATGTTTGTTATCTGCACCTTAAGAATGAAAACAAAGCAACTCGCAGTGAAAACAACACGGCGTCACTGCAGACCACAACAGACGACCGCAGACCGCACAAAAACAAAAAACAAATGTCGTTTTGCTTCGTCGTGAATAAAAAACCAACGTTTTGAGGGAAAAACAAAAAAGTTATGACAAGGAGCTAAACGAGGTTAGCCTCTAGAAACAAACATAATTAGCATATTATAATAATTACAGTGTCCTCCACCCAGACGCGTACCTGTCCCCATTACCTGTCCACTTCTTAGCTACGTCTATCTCGCAGAAACAGGTTTCCCTGTTTTCACCAACTACCCCTGGGGGGCAGAACTCGGGCACCAGCCGTCGCTGAAACGTCAACACGCTGCTGAGGTGTTGCTCATCACAGGAAACCGTCTAGCTATGATGTAATCACAGCTGGTTTCTAAAGTCTGAGATAAACAAACGTCCACTCTTCAAGTTCCAAAAAAAATTAATTTCAAATTTAAAAGTCGAACATCTCGAGGTGAAACATGTTCGATTTGAAACTGTAAACAAATTGTTGACGATAGCGTCGAGGTGTCAGTCAACAGACGTACCAGAAAAAACGAGACAAGACACAGAGACATCTGTATTTTTGAACATTTTATTTTTCGAAAATATTAATATTATTAAATAAATAGCAAATACGGAATAAATAGAATCGTATATTTATACAAATATAAACAGTGTCAGTTTCACTTTGTCGGGACTTGACACCACCGCGTCCCCAGGCATGAAAGTGCAGTTGAAAATTCAAGTTTGTTTTGTTTTTTTTTAAGTTCAAGTTTAAAATTCAATAGCTGAGAGTTCACAGTTTGTTTGTTTAATTTCTTTCTTCGTTTTTCCGCCATCTTTCTGTCCGTCTTTTTTTCTTCTTTTCTTGTCTTGTCTTGTCATACCCAAGTTCTACAGGCATCCATCCACCAGTGCTGTCGGGGGACACCGTTGGAATGGTGACGCCTGCGGATGGAGCCCTGTTCTGCGCGTCGCTTCGCTTCTGCGCACCGCGCACTGGCGCTTCTTTCCGGAGACCAGAAACCGGTTCACCGCTGATCCTAAGACCTCAGACCGCTGTGAGTCCCACGAGTTTAATTCTCGCTGCCCAGTTTGTGGTACACCAACAAGGCTACCATGCAGCTCTTCCCGGCGTTCTGCTCAAAGGTCAGGCTGCTCTCCTCCCCCTCCTGCCCCGGTCTGGAACAGGCGGTGATCGGGACGGTCTGGTGGTCGTCGGACGCGCCCTCACAGCCGCTCTCCGAGGCTGCGTCCCGCGTCAGCTGCCGTGCTTGTTCTTCCGCGGACTGGAAGCGGCGGAAACCGTGGAACTCGCCGATCGACGCGTCGGGGCCACTCAGCTGAGCCTCGGCGCACGGCTCCTCGGTGTAGATCTGCCACAGCACCACCAGACACAGAACCATCAGCCATCGCTTGGCCTGGCTCTTCTCGGGAGGCGGGAGGTGCATGCGGACCTTGGCCGGGTACATGACCCGCGTGCAGCGCTTCTTCGGCCGTATCGGCACGTAGGAGCGCACGGCCGTGGCGGCAGCCGGGATGCGCTCGAAGGTGAAGACCTCCGGCTCCGTGCTGCGTGGAGCCAACTCGGTGAAGGCGAATCTCTCGTGGTGCACCGTCATGGTGACGCTGTCTGAGCGGGAGTACATACTTTCTTCTGGTTCTCTGGGGGTGGGGGGGTTTCTCGACTTTTCTCTGTTTCTCCTATCTGCGGAGTCTTGTAAGTCAGATCTGAGGAAACAGACACCGAGTCCGGCTCTTTTATATCGCACATCGCCTGTGAGTGAGTCTGCTTTTTTCCACAGGAACGCCCCCTACAGCACAGGTCACTACCCACATCTTGTTACTCGAGTGGGTAGTTTTAGTTTTTTTTTTTGTTTGTTTGTTTAGTCCAGGTGAACGATACGATTTCGAAGCTGAATCATCGACGCATGAACCACTGGGAGTTTAGGGAAGTAGGGGAAAAAAAAGTCCGGTACTGTATCCTGTATCAATTCAACTCTCAGTAGCAGGATTTTATTTGTAAATAATATTTATTGATAAACTACATTTTTTTCCATCTGTATAATCTGTATAATAAACTGTAAAATCGTTACATTTTCTCGTGGAGAGCAGAAAAAAATCTTCGAGTGACGTTTAAAAACCACAGACCAACCAAATCTCATTACAACAGTTACTCATTCGTCTAATAATAGCGTTATTTGTAGTTTGTTACTATGTTTGGGGTTTTTTTGTTGTTGTTTTTTTTTTTGGGACCGACACAGGAGGTTGTGATTCAGTGTTTCTAAACATAGGGAAGTGTTTCTCAAAAGGAAACCTTTGACACAGAAGGCGGACCGCGGAGATACTTGCGCGAGAGTCACGACTGAGCCCACGGGTAAGAATGTCTAAAAATGTCACTTATCCGTTACCAGGTCGCAGATCACACTGCACCTTACCAACCCCCGAAAACCTTCCTGCGGGTGGCGAGTCCACTGGAAGGTACCAACCACCCTAACCGGGATTCGAACCTTCCCAGGAGGTGAACCCTGGGGTTCCACACCAACGACAAAGACGTCGTCTCTAAATATATATATATATATATATGAATATTTTTAAGTGTTTTTCCACACTACGTGGACAGTGTTGACAGTCGCAACCTCACGTGCCGCCCACGTGGGCCGGTGGTGCGAAAAGTTCAGTTTATTATAAACAACACCGATGACGACAGGAACCACGGGAACAATAATCCAGCAACCGTACAGTTATCCGGAACGATCCCATCAACATGTTGTTCGGAACCATAATGAAACTATCGTTAACGCCCAAATCTCACGGTGTCACGTGTGACATCATCAGAATATGTCAGTCTAGATTTCTCAGTAAGGAAACGTGAAGGGGGATTTTTTTTTAACCACACACCAAAAACACGCACAGAAGGCTTTGAGAAATTTATCAGGAAATGTTAATCACAAAGGGAAGATTACTGGTTCTGGGTCACACAGAAAGATGGCGCTAGTGATCAATCATACTAAAGTGATGAAAGTGGTACATTTGGGTTAGGTCCCCAATACAAACCCACCAGGTTAGAAACTATTATACTTAGCATTCATGTAGTCCATATGTGTCAAACTCAAGGCCCGCGGGGCCAAATGCGGCCCGCCAAGCCGTTTTGTGTTTTAAAAATAATTTAGCTAAATCCATGCAGCACAGTTCCTTAACCTGAGAAATAAAAGTTTTTATAATCAATCAAAAACAAATCATTACATTTTCAAAATAAAACAACTTTTAGCTCCAAGCTTGAATTTTTCAACATTTTTTTTTCCGATTTTCCTTTTGAATTGTTAAACAACAAAGTACATCCTCGCTAAGTGATGATGTTCAGATCTGCACGTCCGCACTTTTACGACGAAAAACTTAGTAATCCTTTGAGGTGTCGAATGTTTTTCCACTGTAATTCTTTGTTTATATTTACTCGTTTACACAGGTGTGACTGCCAGGTCGGGTGTTGTCATTTATTCCGTCTATCTTTAGATTATCTTTGTTTCTTAATCTCATGCGACCTTATTACAAGACACAGCTTTGGTATCACTGTGCGTCTATGATTCGATTAAATAAAGTGCTAAATATAACTTCCTGTTTTGGGAGTAAGGAGTGAGTGAGTGATTTAATAATAGTTTGAACTTCACTGATCTCATATTTAGGAAGTTCTTGTGTCAACAGGCTACCCCAGGCACGGGCAAACTAAGGCCCGGGGGCCGGACGCGGCCCGTTCAGCTTTTTAATCCGGCCCTCTGAACTTTTCAAAATGATATAATTTATTTATATTGTCATTTTACTTCTCCCTTTTCCCTGCAATACTCATTTTAACCTCAATAGATGGCATAGAAAATGATAAAAGCATTTTAGCCTTTATGTATGACTTTATCTGCTCCTGACCCCGCCCCCCTGTTCAAGATTAGGACCAATTGCGGCCCGCGAGTCAAATAGTTTGCCCACGCCTGGGGTGCCCTCTCCGGGAATCGAAACCCTGGACTCTCTGCTCTCTGCGGCAGACGCGCTAACAACTACGCTACGGAACGGACTAACTCGGATTTGGAATTGAACCGATTTCAGAAACAGCCATGCTTTACCGTGTGAGCTGAGCTCGTCCCGAGCTTTCTGACTAATCACCGAAGGCCGATCGAAATGAAGATCGGTAATGAGTTTAACGACACGTGCAATTCCCCAATAAAGTACCTGGATTTTTGTATTCTTATTTCACCGTGACCTTAAGCGGAAAGAATGTCAAACATCTGAACGCCAGCAGTTTCACTGCAGTGAGGAAACTGGGCTGCCTGACATTTCACGACATTCCCTCACGTTCCTTCTACCAGGAATAGATACCGATAACAGATCACCCAAACATCAGGTATCGGTGAAATAACTATATAATAATTTAACCCGGACGTAGCAACAGTGCAACCATGTTTTTTTTGTACCTTGTTTTAAGTTCAGTGGTTCTTGACCTTGTTGGAGGTACGGAACCCCACCCGTTTCACATGCGCATTCACCGAACCCTTTGGCGACGGTCAAGTGGGAGGCGTGTCCTCCCCTGAGACTGACTCACCGAACCCCTGGGGTTAAGAAGTCTATTTCCATCTTTCTCGTTGCACAAAAGTCAATCAAACTTGTGTTGTCTCACAGAAGTGTCACGTTATTCTAACACGATTTATCACGACTAGAACTCGTCGGTCGGGTTGTGCCCTAGATAATTTAGATCTTAAAGATAAAACAAAAAAAAACATCTTCTCTGCCTCCGTGTCTTAAAATTGAAGGCAGGAACAAGTCTGCAGGCTGCTGCTGCTCATAGATGTAGCCTATATTGCCACCTTCTGACAGATACCGCATCCTGCTTTTTTTTCTTTTTTTTTTAAATCACATTTCTCTGTAACTTTCCAGTGGACTCACCACCTGCAGGAAGGTTTGGGGGGTTGGTACGGTGCAATGTGATTTGGGTGGCGACTGCTGCCCCCGCGACCCGGTAACGGATAAGCGGATGAAAATGGATGGATGGATGGATGGATTTCTCTGTAACTTTCGGGCTTAAGTCGTTGACATTGGGAAACTAAGGCAGCTCTTCGCTCCCTGTCATCAGTAGGAACCGGTGACAGAACCCGCAATGTTGTCGTTTGTTGTTTGGTTTCATCCCATATTTGGGAAATTCTTGTGTAAACAGCAGATTTTGGTCTTATCTTGTTGTTGTTTTTTGTTTTTTAAAGTTCCATCTCCGTAATTTCCCTGCCACTCATCATGTAGTCATGATTATTAAAAAAAAATGGCAACTCTGCTAATGGCAACTCTGCCTTAATCATTTTGACACAAACTGGAGCGGAGACGCCCCAGAACCTTCGTCATCCAACTGTAACGATATACGAAGTAGACGTTACTCATACACCGTCGTTAAAACAGGTATGCCGTTAGGCACGCTCCCAAATAAGGGAACACACGTGTTGCAGATTACTGCAAATACATCATCGAGAAAATATGTCTCGTCTCTGGAATCTTTACGCCTAATTCAGCTAATTATACTCATCATCATTAACCAAGGGGACTAACGATTCCAAGAAATTGGACCAATGGTAGCTGGTTAAATTAAATACAACGGTCCCTCTTTATCGCGGTAGATCGGTTCCAAGACCCTGCCGCGAGAACTGAATTTCCGCGAAGTAGTGCCGCTGTATTTATGCACAGTAAAAAGAATACCGCGCAGCGGATGTTTGTTTTTACATCTCTCCAGAGGTAGGTGCCGTTTCTCGGGGCACCTCTTTCACGGTTTCCGACAGGTGTATCCGTAGTAGTAGTAGCAGGAACCGGCTCTTTTTTTGGCGAGGCTGCAAAAACATTATGATCAGCAGTTGCTTCCGCTGCTTCTTTTTCTAGTCAAAAAGTAGCTCGTAGGCAGTCACGACGTCGTCGATTTTGTTGCTAAATTTGACCGATCGAACCATATCATCGTTCCATTCCTGTGACATCTTTCGCAGATCCAAATCCGGGATACAGTATATTTTATAAATACAGTTTTCAAAAACCTGTAAAGTCATGAATCCGCGAAAAATGAACCATGAAATAGCAAATTGAACGTTTCTACTTTGATTGGTATATGTGGTTGTGAAGAAAAAAATGCCGACACTCCTAGACAAAACTTTCTAGTCACACAAAGGATGCATTGTGGGATGGATGGATGTTACTTAGCTACGGAGAGTGTGAATCCATAGGAATGTCTGATTACTCACCAACCGGGAGTCTCGCCACGACCACAGAGTGAGGCCCACTGAGGTTGCGTGTGGGCCGAACGTGGCCCTCGGCCCATTATTTGAAGCCTGCCGTACAGAAAGACTGTTAATTTTATATTAAAGTTATGTGTTAATTTACATATGACAATATATATTAATATACCCAAGTATCTGGGCCACCTATGATTGGACACATTTTGCTTGCATCTTTGGGGTAACTTTTAGCTTTCTGTTACTCACTTGCTCGTGTACTATTAGCTATTAATTGAAAACATAGCACTTCACTCTATTGGAGGCTTGGCTTCCGCAGAAATGTTCCCTTACGCCCCTGGCAACGCTCATCTGCCCACAGCTTCCCTTGCACTTTGAGGCAACACAGTCAGCTGCGTCAACATTTACTGTAAAATTAAAGTGGACTCCGAGCTAAGAAAAACAAACACAGTCACGAATTCCGCTTCAACACTCTCCCTTTTCTCTGCCCCGTCTGTCTGACAGTAACTCTCTCCGACCCCGCCAACCACACAGACACAGTCATTTCTGCTGGGTTTACTGTGTAAAACCACCATGTGTGTCACT